GAGTATCTCTGCCTGATCAAGCTAAAATGTCCAGCCTGGAGTTTGTGTTGATAGTTTGTTGAGAATACCAAGCAGGGCTGTGCAACCACATCAGGCACCAGCTGCAGGGCTGCGCTCCTCTCCCTGTGTGGCTTACGACTGCTTACGACATGTAGCTCTTCCTGAAGACGCCATCCAACATTTTTCTTATTGACCTCTTGGCCCCCGTCTCTTCCTAGACTCCAAACTAGCACAGAGCTACCAGGGAGATCTTCTCAAATAGGTCATTGACTACCCTCAGTGCCACCCTTTTCTTCATGACTCCAAGGTTCTCCATAAAACAGTTCCAGCCTCATTCCTGTCCCCTACCGTTCAGGTCAGGCCAACTTTACTGTGCTCGCTGTGCCTGTATTCATTCGTGTTCACCTTGTCTCCTCACCTGGAACATCATTCAGCAACCAGTGGTGACAGTAACAATAATGATGATGGTTAAGGCAGGTGCCTTTCTCTCCATGCTAATCATCATTAACATTATCATCATCCTCATTATCATGGTCATCATCTCTTCTTGCTTTCTGTAGCTCTTGACCAGGTGTAGTCTCAGTTGATTTTTACTGCAACCAGGTGATGCCAGGGAGTTACCAGTGAAGGATCTGAGACTCTGAGTGTAAGTGACCAGCCTGAGGTCCATTCACAAGCCCTGGAACCAGGTCACAGTACAAGTCTTCTAAACCAACACGTCCCCATCCCTTGAAGAGACGCAGCCACTGTTCCACTTTTTCCAGCCCTTCCACCCCACAGTGACCTTGCCCTTCTCTCAGTTCCTGTCACTTAGAGTCAGGTGAGCAACACATTATTCCTAGTGCTTCCGATTCCTTCTACTCCCGACTTGGATTATAAGTAGAGTTCCAGGGCGTAGATATCTACAGATGATACCCCACAGTGACCTTGCCCTTCTCTCAGTTCCTGTCACTTAGAGTCAGGTGAGCAACACATTCCTAGTGCTTCCGATTCCTTCTACTCCCGACTTGGATTATAAGTAGGGTTCCAGGGCGTAGATATCTACAGACGATGAGGTGAGCAACACATTATTCCTAGTGCTTCCGATTCCTTCTACTCCCGACTTGGATTATAAGTAGGGTTCCAGGGCGTAGATATCTACAGACGATGCCATTCCTAGGGAAGCCCTTCGTGGTGTAGAACCTGCCTCCTCCCCCACCTCATCTTCTGCCACTTTCTATTTCCTAGAAATGTCAGGCTCACTCCCACCCCCGTGTGCTTGAATGCCATCCCCTTTTCTTGGGTCACCTTCCTCACCTGGGTGGCAGACTTCTCACCTGCTGAGACGTAGCTGAAACACCATTCCTCCGGCATGCTCCCCGCTCCTCTCGGACAAAGCTGGGGGCCTGTCCTTGCCTGTGTACCCCAAGAGCCTTATGTGTGCCTCTGTTGAAGAACTTTTCACAGGAGGTGGGGAATTCTGTTGACTTGGGGCCAATCTCTGAGGGCCTTTCCAGAGTTCTTAATTCTCATAACTACTGTCCACACGTCAAAGGCTTGTTGTGACTTTTGGGTTTTTCCCTCTCCTGTAGCTGGACGAAGGCACTCCTCCAGAACCTAAGGGAACATTTGTCGACTATCAGACGACAGTGGTTAAATACTCCAAAGCCATTGCGGTAACAGCTCAAGAAATGGTAAGAAAAAGAGCCGCCCTACTCACCTTCAATTGCCTTTTTACCCACTGCCACCCGTGAGTCTTCAAATCGGGATCTGTGTTGAAGGGGCAGGCGAGGCTATGTCTAGTTCCTCCTGGGCTCTAGCTGCTGCCCTTTCTCTGTGGTCTCTCTGGCTGCCTGTGGTCTAGGAGCCCCAGTCTGCTGCAGTTCTCACCTCCTGAAAAGCTGCAAGAGGGAATAACAGATGACTGAGACTTGGGCTTGAGGACAGGGGGAGCCAAGGAAGAAGGAAAAATGGGAGAACAGAGGAAATGAAAAGGAAGTTAGAGTTAAGGAAAAAGGAGAAAAAATCCTATTCACCTCTCAAAGGACTTGAGATACTGCTATAGATTAAAATTACAGTAAAAGAAAAGATTTTGGGAATAAAACAACAGAAATGAGATTGTCTGATGGAATCAAAATGGTAGTGCTTGAATAATAGGCATTGCTGGTCTTTCAGGCAAAACAAAATAGCACGGTTATGTAAAAATGTTTTCCTGACAGCAGAAAGCATGTAACTTTTGAAAGTAATCTTTTTTCTAAAATGTAATACAACCAGAACTATATCATATGGATCCTTAGATATAAATGGCACTGAGGACAACAAATGCTATCTTCATATGTTAAAGTTATATAAAAGATGATAAATGGTGTCCTCAAAGAATTAATAGGAGTACATAGAAAAATTTCCTCAACTTTTGAAGGCTCAGATGCCACGGGATAAAATTTGGGAAGATGCCTCTTTGATACTTGCCACATAAGCCTGACTTGAGGAACCAACTGGCCTTCCTAGCTGGAGGGACCAGAATGAGCCACTGTGGGGTTTCTGTCCCATCAGACCCAGGAGCCTCTCTGAATGGTTTTGTCATGTAACTGTGTGTCCACTAGAGGCTGAGCTTGGGCCACAAAGGCTTTCCTAGCTGCTGCCGCACACTCTTGGAGACTCTGTGATTGTGTCAGGCTTGTTGTTTAAAAGAATTCAGGCCAGAGAGGAGGTGGGAACAGTACCCCTCTCAGTGTCCTGTGAAAAGCTGGAGTCAAGCCCAAGCTCATCCTTCTCAGGGGGCTCAGGGGACAGATCATAGGTCCAATCCAGTGTCTCTGCCATGCCAATTCCTGATGAGCAGGGAGCACGGTGCAGCAAGGGGTGAAAACATTTTTGGGTGGCCTCGTGGTGTTGCCGGAATAGCTCCTGTGCCAGGTTCTGGGCTGACCTGTCGTGACACTTGGTGTCCATGGTCTTAAGGAGGCCATCCTTCCATGCATGGCTGCTCCTGAGATAGCTGGCCTGGTACCTGGAATCAGAGAGAGGCCCACTTCACCTCCTTAGTCGCCCCCTGAACCCTTGTGCTCCTGTTGATGGGCAAATGGAGCAGCTCATGGTACCACCTCACTCTGGTGGGTTCAGTGTTCTTGGAGTCCACACCTCGGCCTGCAGCCTGTGACATTTCCTTGTAAACTTGCCTTAGACGGTGTGGACATGCCCATCCCACCTCAGTGGATATGGAGTCACTTAAAAGAGTTTTTGTAAAAGCTCTTTAAAAGCGAGGTCTTGAAAGGCCACATAGAAATAGTATCATTATCCAGAGTGAGAGAAGAGGAGGGCAGGAGGAAGCCCCTTGGAGAGGGACAAGGATGGCTTTCTGGGTGCAGGTGAAAACTGCTGTTGTGACAATTAAGAGGCATTTTTGTCCAGAGAAGAGGAAAAACTACAAACTGGCATGTTAGGCAGGGAAGGTAAATTGAGATATGTGGAACACGGGAAAATACTGAATATCTTGATAAGGTAGCACTTGACCATTTGGGTACAGTATACTCTTAACTAAATTTGTTTGCTGAAACCTTGTCATTCTTTGGCACCAATTTACTACAAAGCTGTGTTCTCTGAGTTTCTTCCCCACAAACATTGGCTTATCCATCACTTCTCACTCATGATTTCCTTACCAGCCCTGTCCTCACACCCTCTCTCACGCGATGGGAACGGCTTCTGGGTACCCAGAGACCAGATCTCGCTGCAGAAGCCAATGTGCAGGGGTGTGCAGTGCACAGGACTTGTGCCCCTGGTGGTTTCTTAGTGGAATTCCTCTGGTGACCCCACAGAGCAGGGCTGGCTGGAGGCTGCCACAGTCACCTGCCAGAGAGTGGACCCTGAAGGCCCGGTTCCACGCTACACGGCCTGAACACTGAGCATGTGCCCATCCGGCCTGGCCAGGCTCTGTTGGCTTGAGAGGGGCCCTGTGGGGTCTGCCTGGGCTCTGGCCTGTTGTGTGCATTGCAGCATGGGCTCCGCTTGAACTGTCCTCACCTGCGTCCAGCCCCAAGTGCTGGTCCTGGCCTTCACCCCGTCAGGAGCTTAAAAGTGAATGAAACCCTTTGGCTTCCAGTGGTATTAACACAGGGTTCTCATGCTTTTCTCTGTGTGTGTGTGTGTGTCTTGCTTGTCTTCTTTTTCCAGATGACTAAGTCGGTTACTAACCCGGAGGAGCTGGGAGGACTGGCTTCACAAATGACCAGTGACTATGGGCACCTGGCTCTCCAGGGCCAGATGGCGGCAGCCACGGCGGAACCAGAGGAGGTCTGCCACCTTAAGCCCCTGTTTTAAGAAGCAAACACATTGTTGCCCAGTCCTGGGGGTCTCTCCGTAGTTTAGCTCTACTCCAGAAGAGCCCAGCCCAGTAGCCAGACCAGGTTTAGTTCCCACTACTGTGCTGGCAACTGCAGGTCCAGACCCCATAGCCCTGGGCTGTGCTCAGGGCTCACTGCCCTTTCTAGGGCAGACTGGCCATGAGCTGAGCTGTCTGGGGAGTGGGTTTTCAGACAGAGGGACTCTGTTTACAATGTCCTACCAAGTCCCCCATCCCGCAGTTCATTACCTACTGCGTCCCGTAACAGCCCCGAGCCTGGGGCTGCCATTTTCTCTTCCCACTTCCTACTCCCAGCAAGCACATCTCCTTCAATTAGTTTTATGTTTTCCAAAGGCTCAAAGAAGTGTTAGAATAACCAAGTATGGAGTTTAGCTGCCCCTCTCTTCAGAAAGGGCTTTGTAGGCTGCCTTCGTGAAACAAAGTCTTGCCCAAACACTCTTGGTGACTTCATAAGAACTGGCCCAGATCCTTGCCCCCATACCTCCTGTGGACCCCTCTTCATTACCTACCTGCCCTCCCTAAACTAGCTTTTGTTAGTGGCCTCAGAGTGCCTGCACCCATTAGAGAATTACAATGGCAGAAGTGTGGCCCCAAAGGCCACTTTCTAAGAACTCCCATCTCTGGTACCTCTGAGGAGGGGAGGGGGCCACTGGAAGCACACAGGACGGCGGAGCTCCAGCGAGCCTGGTGGCACCTTTATCAGTGTCGACACACAAGGGCTGGGTCCTGAGGAGCTGCACGGCTCCTTAGAGAAAGAAAGGTCAATCTGAAAAAAATAAAGGAACAGATTGCAGAAACACTGGGAAGATGAAGGTAACTGCATTCTGTGAAGCTCAGCAAGCCATTTATCGAGCACAAACCCTGTTCATGACATTCTTAAATGAACTGGGCTGTTAAGGCAGGAGGTGGTGACTGGTCTTCTCTTCTTGCAGTGACAGTCACTGTCCCCTTGTTACTCGGTGCTGCTATTTCTCCTGGGAGTCAGGTTTAAGGAATGTCTTAACAAAGACTCCCAGAAATACTTACAGAAATGAAGACCCCAGACAAAATCACTTTCTAATGTGTGTTGTAACAATGCATGTAACTAGAGCATCATATATATGTACTTGCATACATATATATATAGCATGGGATTAAGTTTCTAACAGTGTCTGTTTTGAGATTTCAGAATGATTATTTAGGTTGCAGCATGAATAATCTATTTGTAATGAGTCTGTTAAGTCACTACCAAGGAAAAACAGTTATGAGACCCTCATCAGGATTTGGTTGATTCTTTACACAGGCCTGTCAAAAAAAAATAGACTCCCTATTTTAGTAAGATCTAGACTCATGACTCATTTGATTAGCATATAATGTTGAATTTCTTAAACAAGTATAAGGAAATTTATGTTACGCTAAGGGAAAGTTTGGTTGGATAAGAGGAAGACGTATTTGACTATGAGGGGGATTCAAAACAGAGACTGAGATTGCAAGGGAGGTTTGGATCTCTGTCCACAGAAACCTTTAAAGGTGGAATCTACCACCATCTGCCTTGGTTAGTTTGAATGCTGACCCTTCCTGAGTCACTGTGAAGCCCTTTCCACATCTGAGCTCTTATGAGCTATATGTGAAACAAGCAGATGTTCTTGTTGCAACACAGACCATTGAGGCAAAATATAAAATAATGTCAGAGCAGCCAGGAAAGAAAATGTATTGCTAAAAGCACAACAACAGGTTACTTTAGTTATTGGCCCCGTATTTGTAGCAGCTGACATTTTCATTAAGGTTTTCCCTTTTTACTGTTACATCTTGAGATGTATTTTACATTCCAGACACAAGAGAAGTGTGACCTGGAGTGAAAAGGGGCAGAGAGAATATAAAATTACCAGTGGCTTGCTAAGGAAAGTTCTCTGTGTGCATTTGCCAGACAGATATTTGGGGGGGAACTGAGAAGGTTAGGAGATCCCTGAAGCAATGTAGTTTTTTGTTCCAAGATCATAGAATTATTTGTGTACCCAAGAGGGCCCACATCACAGCATGTGAAAATATTTATATCCAGGGCAAATAAGAAGCTGCTCCCTTTGCAACAGTCCTGGGGTCTGCTGTGCAGAGTCAGCATTTTGGTCTTTTCCAGAATGTGACAACTATAGGAAAAGTCATAGCTCTGTTCTCAAACATCAGACAGGAGCCTTATCTGCTTATTTTTCCATGGAAAATTCAAACCTTCATTAACATCACTGTGAGAACGTCTGTCTTCAGAGAAGTTTAAACCCTCCAGCAGCTTTACAATTTATGATTAGTTTCCTCTTAAAAAAAAAAGAAGAAAATGAGATCCTATGAGCCATGACTTCTAAATGTAAATCATGGGGAAAAGATTTAGTGACTACAGCTTTGTCTCTGAGGAAAATTTGCCACAACCACTTGGAGTACTGGATGTCTTAAAAGCTGGCAGGAGCATTTGTCAAGCGCCTGTGGCAAGAACCACAGCCCTTTCCCTCACATGAGATGGATGTTCGCTCTAGAATTCTCTGAAACTTTCCACCCCAAGACACACTTCTGGAGTGGGAAAGCAATGCCCCATTTCTCTTATTCACACGTTTTATTATTTCCTTCCATTTTTTCCATCTAAGTGTGTCCAGTAAGTTCTGTTACTGCCTTTTCAACTCTGACAAGCTATCCCAGACAAAATTATATTTGACCTGATTGCAGATGTAATTGCTTTTAAGGCCTGAGAAATATCAGTACACTTTGTTTTATTTTAGGCAGGAGGAAAGACGATCAGTGTTTCTTAGATCCCCTCCAATTAAAATCAGACCCAAAACTTCATAAAGGCTGGGTTTTTTATTTCCCTCAAGGCACAAAACCAGGAGATGATTTTCTCTGTTTTATTTGGATAAAAAGGGAATTGAGGGTTTTTCTTGAGGCTCAAGTAACGCTTTACTGAAGTTGCCAATTTAAAACCCCAAGTTTTATGTCTTTGAACAACATTCCTTTATAATAAACACTGGTAGTAAGTGGGATCACCCTGTGAGCTGGTCATATTTGCTGAGAAGTTTAGTGTTGCTTTGAGAAGCTTAGTATCTATCTTTTAAATCCCTTATCTGTTTGAATACCATCTTAACGTATTCCCATTCTAGGATGTTCCTCCAGTAGTACAAAATGTTCTGTGAAATTGCCAGTAGACTATGTTGATCTCGGTGTCCTCTTCCACTGAAGTGCCCTACTTCTCCCATGTGCTCCTGGAAAATAATAATAAGAGAGTTATTAACCAATCCATGTACACGTCTGCTGTCCTGTTTACCCTCACAAATGCAGCAGGTGAGACAAGAATCACTTGCTCTTCCCCATTTCACAGATGAGCAAACCAAGGTCAGGGAGCTTAGTCAAATTGCCCAGGACCACACTACTGCGGTTGTTAGTGTTGGAGCACTGTAAATTCTTCTCTGAAATAAGTGATTGATTCAAGCACATAAGTAAGAAGTTAACAAGTAAATATGTGGAAAAGCCAGGATTCAAACCCAGGTTTGTTGGGCATCTCAGCCCTTGTGCTTTCTCCTGCACCAGTCTGCCTTTTTCCCCAACAGTAAACACTCATACAGAACTCCCGGCTTTTTGAGATGCCTTCATGCGGACCTGTTCATTTGGTTATCCCATCAGCCCCAGGAAGTGGGCAGAGCAGGTTCTGTCCAGTTTCACCGGGGAGAGAACGAAGGCCCGTCAAGGTTAGTGAGCTCACCCAGAGAGTCAGGCGGCCAGGGAAGGGTAGAGCTGGAAGCAAGGCCTCTGGTACTTTCTGCTGCCCACCTGGGCTGAGAGCAGGGCTGGGATCCAGAGATCTTTCCTATTACATTCAGCCCTCCTAGCCCATGAGTAGAGCCTATTTTAGTTTGTTCTTGATAGCACTCCATCACTCCTGCATGCTGTTCAAACAGGATTGTGCAGCTGAGTATATAAGAGGCTTGTATGGCCAAGCCTCAAAGGGTGCTTCAGGCACCTAGAAAGACCTGGGTTGACAGAACTCCAAGGGCCTTTGCAACTATTGCCCTATGTAGTCTCACTCCTTTGCTTTCTGCTACTGGACATCTTGGAGCTTCCTAGCTGGAGTTTCATTCATGATGGCACTGGCCTAGCTCCACTGTTGCATTTACAAGCCTCATTGCTATACGCATCATGTGACCTCCAGTAAAGGGGCTGAGCTGCAGTGCATTGGGGTGTGTGTAGCAAGCCTTTTGAGGAGGCTACAGGAGCACAAGAGTATTGCTGAGGATGTATCCTACCACTGATCATGCCTTCCACGGGTTTCAGGTTTGAGACAGCCCAGGAGCATGTCCTGCCTCTCTCCTACCCCAGGGTGATTTAAGAGGCATTTGCTTGTCCCAGTGCCCTGCATCCTGCAAACAAAGTTCAGGCTTGACTCCATGAGGGGGCAGGAGGAGTGCACAGTGAACACTGTTCAAGCACCTGGCTCTTTTCCAACACAATGGTTTGACGCCACGTTCTTCAGAACCCTGAGCTGCAGAAGAGCTTTGGAGATTCTGTACATTTGCTTCAAGTCTCACTTTTTAAACATAATTTAACTATTTTTAAAGTTGTTAGGAAAACCAGCCCCAGCTCCCCTCTTGCTCTCAACCTTTCCCCCTGTGGTCAGCAGAGAAGATCATTTGTGTGTGGTCTAGGCCAGACGGTAACCTGTTGGGGCCACTAGTGCTTTGCCATAGGCCGCTAGGTGATTTTGTGCAGATCTCAGGCTGATGCTGCATCTGCCATGCCTGCAGTGATCAAGAGCTGCAAGAATACTGCTCCCTTTTAATTTATTTCCACACAGAATGGGATATCCTCAACACTGTGCAACCAAAGTAAAACATAGAAATTTGTTGGCTGAGACCGTTCACTGGCCTTCTTTAAACCCCATCTTGAAAACTTTGGTTCACTCAGTCTCACTGTTGACTTTTTGATTCCAGGATATAAATTTTAGCTCATATAAGGAAGAGCATGCTAACAACACATTACATCTCTCTATTTTATGTGTTGAGGTTCCACTAGAGATTTCACTTGTGGGGAGGAAGGGTTCTGCCGCTAAGTAAAGCATCAGAGAAGTTAGAAAAATACTGATCTGATGGATAGGGCACTGTGCTCAGGATTAAGGACCTTGGTTCTCATCTAGCTTTGTCAGGGGCTGGCTATGTGACCTCGGGCAAATCACATCCATTCTCTGGGCCTCAATTTCATCATCTGTAACATGGGGAGTTTGAACTGGCAAGGTCTTTTTAATTTCGAATTCTAGAAATGTTTCTTCTTCTATTTCCTCCTTATTTGACTTTTCCAGCAGCACTTTATCATTTAGACATCTGTGGTCATCGCTGACTTCAGAGCTCTTGCCTTTAGATTAAGTCTGACCCTTGAATACTTAGCGTTAAACTGTATGGATCTTGAAAGTTTCAAAAGCCAAGCTGGTTCAAAACATTAATGGGGCATCCCCCCTGCTTCAGCTTGACCTTGTTTTTAAACAACAAACATGTCCAGCAGACAGATATGTTTAAATGGCATTATTGCTGTGTGGGCTGGATTAGAGTGTCTTTTCTCTCAGGGGCAGCCTTATTGCTACACTAGTCCAGACCTGTCTGCAGAGCTGCCATGTTGTGTTCTACATGAAGATGGTCAACGAGACAGTCCTGCCTGATTGTGAAGCCTCTGTGGCACCCCCTGTACAATACAGAAGACACCCCAAAAGAGCAGAAGCTCAACTTTCTGGATCAGGAGAATTTTCTACTAAATGGATTTAAAGCTTCTTTGGGCCTTAAGGAGTTAGGGAAGAACCACTTTTCTCCAAAAGCAGTATGTGTTTCAGTGATACTAGAGAGAGCATTTGCAGCCCCCCACCCCCGCCCCCCCAAGTCACTCTTCCTTAAACTCTAACAAGATGATATTAAGATAGGATCCACGTGGCCAAAGTCTCCCAGATTTTATTCACAGTACCTGAAATCTGTTAGTAAATATTCTTGATAGATGCTGGAAGGATAAGGCACAGCTTCTAGCTATCATAGATTCTTGAAAATAACACTCACTGACTCATGCTTAAAGTTTTGTTTTTAGTTGCTTACCTGGGCTGGAGGGTAGATTACTTATGACAGTTGTATTGATCAGACCAAAATGAAAATTAATGTGAAACATAGCCAGAGGAATAAAAACTAGGAGGTGGGGTTTTTCACCTTAAAAGAGACAGCTGGCAGCTTATCCATAGTGTAGCTTATTTGGCCTCTGCTAGGCAGAATACTTTTTATAATCACACAACCCAGGGGTTGTTAGAAGAATGCACACCTGCTGAGCCATAAGCTCTAAAACGTACCTTTTTAAGGAAACCTCAAACCTGGGCTCAGTATGGTCATTCTCACCTACAGCCAAGGAAGGAGGCGTTCTGGTTAGTAAACACATCAATTTTGCAGAAATCTGAATACTTTAAAATATGCCTAATACTAAAGCTATATATTTTTAACTTCTAATTATCCCCTAGGGCTGTTGTGAGGAATAAATGAAATTAAATGCATGACCTTCTTAGAAGAGGCCGTGACACACAGTAGGGGCTCAACAAATACATGTTGAATGAATAACAACATTCTCCCACAGAGTTCATCTAATTAACATTATTGGGTGGCTCAGGATTCAGATAAACTAAACCAGAAAAGGTAGCAAACATCAGGAAGATATTATGTTAGGATGATGAGATACAGGCTTGCTTAATGGAGACTGTGGGCATTTTACAGTCTAAAAAGGGAAGTAAAATCAACCAAATTCCATACTTCACCAAACACAGACTCCTAATAGGAGTGGAATTTTCCTAGCCAGGCTCCCATAGGACGCAGGAGAAATTTTCCACATAGGGAAGACCTCCATGGCAGGGCCCATCCTGCTTCTTCTTCCCCATCCTGGACTTGCCTCTGCAGATCGGATTCCAGATTCGCACCCGTGTGCAGGACCTGGGTCATGGCTGTATCTTCCTGGTGCAGAAGGCAGGAGCCCTCCAGGTCTGCCCCACAGACAGCTACACCAAGAGGGAGCTGATCGAGTGCGCCCGTGCCGTCACAGAGAAGGTAAGGAGTAGCCCTCGGGTCACACACAGCCACGGTATCCTGTGCCGTCTCTTGGGTCACGCCGTGATTGGGGACAAAAGCAGGAAGCTAAGCCAGAAGTAATCCAGCCGAGTCAGCGTCTCCTCGTCATCTCCCCTCCTCGTCATCTCCCCTCCTCGTCATCTCCCCTCCTCGTCATCTCCCCTCCTCGTCATCTCCCTTCGTCATCTCCCCTTGCCACCCAGGTTCTCCCCAGGAATGGGACTCCTCGAGGATCTGGGGGTGATTTGTAGGCCCTGAGGACCTGAGAGCATGAAAGGGGCTGTCCCATGAAAGTCAGCCCTGGTGCTAAAGTCACCATCAGCAGCCAGGAGCCCCTCCCTGTAACCCCTGTTGATGCTGTGTGCTCTCTGCCCTTCCTTCTCTAGGAGGCACCCGGGTGCAAAGGGCTGAGTCAGAAGGACCTAAAGTCCCTGTCACGTAGCCTCTTCTCAGAGGAGCCAGTGCAGCGGGGGAGGGTTAGGCAACTTCGGGCAGTTGCGTGCTGTCTTGGTGGAGGAGCAGGAGCTTGCACTAGATTTTCTGACTCTAAAGGAAGCTGACTATAGAGAGAATCTCATAGCATAGCAAACAAGCCTCTAAGGTCTTAGCTAGGTTATTTCACCTTTCCAAGCCTCAATTTCCTCATCTTTAAAATGAGGATAAAAGTATATAATTCCTACCTTACTGAATTGTGGAGATTAAATGTGGTGATGTGTGTAAAAGTGCTTGGCATGGTGCCAGACACATAGTTAAACATTTGGTAAAAAGAGCTATTGTTTTCTGTAAGTTTTCCTCTAAAACGCTTTTCTCCCAGAAAGTTTTCCCTGGTGAACAATGCTCCACTCCAAAAGTCCCTTCATTCCTAATAGCTGTTTTATGCTCTCCCAGTATATGAATTTGTTTGCTTTGCTTATGTCTCTGGATCATTTTTCAGGGCTGCTATTTTGCAGGCTGCTGAAAGTACAGGATGAAACATCTGTGCTTTGGTGGATCTTCTCTCTCCTTTCACTTTGGTTCTTGGGACATAGAGCCCTGTGCTGTTTAGAAACCTGGCAACAAGACTTGAGGGGTGGGCGGGGAAATCCTCAACTGGAAGCTGCTGCCACAGAGGCTGCTATGTCTGTGGCCCCTCACGAGGCCAGGCTGCAGTCTGGCCTCCTGCAGCCCGCAGGACTGTCAAGCCTCCCTAGGCTGCACAGAGTGAGGAAATAAATCTTTCAGCTCAAGGAAGGCATTTTCCCTCCTTCTAGAGCCCTTTCTTGTTATTGAAGTTACTCTTGCCAAGTTCCCCCATAGGAGACCTTGTAGGGGGAGCACTGGGGAGGGTGAAGGGGTCCAAGCTGTCCATGTTTGCAAGCGTGGCCAAGCAACACAGTCTCCTGAGCTGGGCTTGGCCTTGCTACTTCTCACAGCAGAGGGCTTCTGATTTAGGGCACCTGAAAAGGACCAAAGATGGGGAGGTGGCTCATTCTTAGCAACTAGCCTTTTCAGCTGTTTCTTGCTACATGTCCCTGCCCTTCTAATATCCTGCCATCTCATTTCTGCCTGGTGTGTCTTGTGTGTGTCTTATGTGTCTTGGTTGTGTGTGTATGGTCAGCCCCCCAACCGTGAACTGCTTGACTCATCTACCTTTATGTGCCACCTAGTGACTAGCAGATGCTCAGTAAGTGCCTGCTGACTTGCATACCTTCCACAGTGGGGGGACCTGTTTCTGGACCCTTTTTTCTTTCACCCTGGCTGAGACTGTCAGCACCACCCCACCTCCCCGTGGGACTCTGTCACTTATCCTCTGAGAGTTCTTTCCAGAAACTGGATGTCTCATTCCCAGGCCGGCTCTGTGCCAGTCTGACTCATCTTTTCCTGGAGGACCTAGTGGCATTTAAAGGCAGGCCAGGCAAATGAGGAAGAGCAACAGTTCCTTGTGGGCCAGTCCTGGGGTGTGGTGGGTGCTCAGGAAATGCACCCTCCTGCCAGGCTGCATCCACGGCATCTGCTGAGGACTGAGCAGCATGGGGGGAGAGTCTCCAACTATGTGTCCCTTACTGATACTATGATGTCCCTGCCATAGTCAAGGAATGGTTTGTGCACACAGCTTAACACAAGGAGCCACCAGCCACTAGCCTGACATGCTGTTTTTAGTGTGCAATACAGCAGGCCATCCTGAGGGTAGGAGCAATGTGCTGTAGAATCTTGGGAGGCAGAGCTGCCTCTCCGGAGGCAGAGAGGTAGGGAGGCGTCCCACTGGGGACTTTGAGCCGTGTCTTGCAGGATGAGTAGGTCGATGGCTGGGGAAGAGAGGGAGGGGACATTTCAGGCAGAGCACAGACTCAGAGTAAAAAGATGGCTGTGTTTGGGGAAGTGAGGAGCTGGCTGATGTGGTTAGGAAGGAAGCTCAGCTCCTCTCCAAAGCCGGGGAGAATCGTAAGCAGGATTTGTGTCGTAAGAAAGTGTCTCTAGGAACAGTGAGAATGGACCGGAGGGAGGGAGGGGTGGCAGCACAGGGTTTCTGGCACGGAAGGTGCTGGAGTGAACCCCTTAGCTGACTTGCTGGACCCTTGGGTCTCTGCAATTATCATGTGGTAGCTGATAGGGCTCGCAAAAGTGCCAGGCATGGAGAGGTTACGTATGTAGATCTCTGGACTTCAGCCCCTCTGAGATCTGCTCTGGAGAATTTCCAGCCATGAGGCAGCCAAGGGAAGGAGTGATGAGTGTTAGCAGTGGACTGTTCCTACTGAAAACCTAGTAAAAAAAGGATGGAAATGGCCACACCTTTCACAAGAGCCTAATCATTTATGCTTCTTTGTGGTTTCAGAAACATAATAGTGATTAAATAAGTAGAAGTAGTTGCCCTTTCCTGAACATGTCCTGTTCCAAATGCCTTGCTAGACACTTTACATGCTCTGTTTTTCCCTACTTAATCTTCCTGGCAACCCTGATAGGCAGGAAGCAATAGCCCCATTTTAGAGATGAGGAAATCAAGGCTTCGACGGCTAGAGGAACTTGCCCGAGGTCATGTGGCCACTGTATGGCAAAGCTGGTGTTCAGGCTGCACACATGTGCTGTTAATCCCTAAGCTGAATCAACTCCCAGGAGAGGGAATTGAGTGTTTTCAGTCAATACACTATTAGGTCACACTTTCTCTGTTTCCAGGCTCCTCTCACGTTCCCTTTCTGCCTACAGGTGTCCTTGGTGCTCTCGGCTCTCCAGGCTGGGAACAAGGGGACCCAGGCATGCATCACAGCTGCCACTGCCGTGTCTGGGATCATCGCCGACCTGGACACCACCATCATGTTTGCGACGGCAGGGACACTGAACGCAGAGAACAGTGAGACCTTCGCGGACCACAGGTACAGGGGCCCCTGGACGGGGGGGTGGGGGAGCTTCAGGCAGCCTGCCCCCGAAACTCCTCATCAACTTTAGAGACGCTGCCTGGGAGCCAGTGGTGGTGGTTATACGCTTTGATTTCAACAAGATGCTCAAGTGGGGGAAGTGAACCACGTAATCAAAACAGGCCCCTTTGGCCAACTAAACACGGAGTCAGTTTGAGTTTTGCCTTTGACGGCCCTACATCCAGCCTGCTCCAGCAGAGGAGGGCTTGTGATGTTTCCCTTTCCAAGCCAGGGAGCTGGTGCACTGCCTGCTCCCCAGCCCCAGCAGGACTGGGAGTGGCAGGGGCAGGCACGTCTGGCTCTTCCCATGTTCCAGGGAGCAGGGCTCAAAGCCTGCTGTCTGCCGACTCGCACTGGGAACACTGGCTCTTTAGCCCCTCTCAGAAGGCTGCTGTTGGAGACCCCCGAATGCTCACTCCATGTCCAGCACCTTTCTTCCTGCGCTAGGGAGATTCCCAGTGCTCTGTCGTCCCTTCTAGAGCCCCCAGCCTCTGTACAAGGGCCCCCCATGACTCCTCACAGCTCACCTTCACTATAAAGTATTTGAAGGGATAGCGGCAGCTGCAGAAAAAAAAAAGCTGACATTTCATTTAACCACAGGGCTAGGGCAAGGGAGCCAAACTGGCAGGTCTGAATCTGTCGTTGATGTTTTAGTATCAAGTGACTCTGTGTGTACTGGTTGATTTTGCTCTGCTCTCCCCAATTGTGCATGCATGGAAATTGAGAGCCCCCATAAGAAGGGATGGAACACACTGCCTGTCTTCTTCAAAGTCCTTTAACGAAAGCCCCCTATGAAGGATTGCTTTTCTTCCTAACCGCAAGTGATCGAGTTCTGCCCTGTGTCTCTCCCTCTCACTCTGCTCTCCCCCGCTTCTCAGGGAGAACATCCTGAAGACAGCCAAGGCCTTGGTGGAAGACACGAAACTGCTTGTGTCAGGGGCTGCGTCCACTCCAGACAAGCTGGCCCAGGCAGCTCAGTCCTCCGCAGCCACCATCACCCAGCTCGCCGAGGTGGTCAAGCTGGGGGCAGCCAGCCTAGGCTCCGATGACCCCGAGACCCAGGTACAGGCGGGGCCTGGGGGACGTGTCCTCCTCCGATGCCCACAAACATCATATACCAGGCTCAGGAGAGGCCTAAGGCAAAATGGGAACTTTTGAAATAAACAGTATATGTGCAGGTATATCCACAATTTAGGGAATTGGTAGGAAGCAGTTATCCGAGTGTGATAGTGGTGGTAGCCATAGGGATGAAGACAGGGTGACAGATTTGAGAGGAATCTAAAAGAAGGACTTGGCCAGGCCTGAAGGACTGAATGCTGTGGGCACTGGGAGACAAGGGAGGGTGGGAGTCGGGGATGGCTCCACACGCAGGCTGGAGCAGCACGGGGACAATAGCTCTACTTACCTCTTGAGGTGGAGCTGCCTGGAGGGAGAGTCGGCTTGGGCAGGGAGGAGGTGAGTTCAGTGTGGGTGTGTTAACTGGAAGTGCCAGACAGACAGGCAGGTAGAACCAGTGAGTGGCATGAGCCTGCTCAGGTGCAGAGATGTGGATGCGGGGACTGTTGCTGTAGAGATAGTGATGGCAACCACAGGAGGGGAAAGCAGGGAGTGAGGGAAGAATGGGGTTCAGGGCAGAGCCCTGGGGAATCCAGCACTTAGGACCCTGTTAGGGAGAGAATGCCTAGGGAGATTGGGAAGCCCAGCAGCTGGTTGGAGGAGCACCAGGGGCGTGATGTTGAGAGGAAAGGGCGTTTCAGCCCATCAGAGCTGGCCGAGAGACAAAGATGAAAGTCTGGGAACTGCCTGTTGGCCCTAGTGCCCTGCAGGGCGTTGCTGACCCCAGCTGCTCATGTGGAGTGTTGGGGCAGCAGCCAGATGAAGGTGAAGAAATGAATTCAGCAGGTGCAGACAACCCACTCGAGAAGTTTGGCTCTAGAGTAGGGGAGAGAAGCGCTGAAAGGAAAGGGAAGGGCCACGTGCTTCTGGGACCCCTGCTTCAGATTTAGCAACTTCACTGAAATTACCTCCTGTTTCTTGGCCCCCCATCCCCCAGACCATAAGCTCCTCGAGGATAGTAACTGCAGTTTATTAATCCCTGAAACCTGCCCATCCAACACAGTTCCTGGCCCACAGTGGATACCCAACAAATATGTGTTCAGCTGTTGCTGAACTAACAACCGACCAGGGGTATCAATGGATAGATACTACCTGTTGCCAGAGTGCAGAAGCTAGCTCTCTCTGTCCTACTCCCAGCACCATCACATGGCTAGTTCAGTTTTCACTGCTTAAACCATACTCAGAAGACTAGTCTATTGGGACAAAACTGGATAGAAATCCCTGCCGTTCAGCACCCAGGTGGACAACAGTGGCTGCGCTGGTGAACGTGAGGCCACCAGCTTTGTTCCCACGTGGGCTGACCCTTCCCTTCCTGACGCCCTCCAGCGGAGCAGAGCTCTGAGAAGAAATGTCCTGTACGTTGCCATTCTGTCCCGCCTGCTGGATTTCTTTCTGATAACATCAGAGTTCAGATTGGCTGCCTTTTGGAATTCTTAGCATTCACAGAAATCCCTGCCTGCGTAGTGTTTCCACCCCCGTGGAGGAAGGAAAAGCTTGAAAATGCGTCTTTGGAGTTGGAACCATGCAGCAGGCGCACGCTCTCCTAGTCTGACTCAACTTCAGGAGAAGTGCACCAGCTGGGGAGGATTTAAATCTTTTAACGGAGAAATGTATTGAATTGCTATAGAATCTTTTTGTTTCCCTTCTAAACATTTTTATTGTCATAATTTTTATCGTGCAGAAAAGTAACCAAAATCATAAAGCAAACTGCTGTGTGTACCCACCACTCAGCTTCAGTGACTGTCAGCATTTGCCGCCTTTTTCATTCAACCTCTTCCTCCCACGTCTTTTATTTTATTGTGGTAAGAACACTCAAGGTGATATCGCCTTCTTAACAGATTTTTAAATGTGCGGTATAGTATTGTTAGCTGTAGGCACAATGTTGTACAGCAGATCTGGAGAAGTTACTCATCTTTTCTAAGTGAAACTTCATGCTCATCGATGAGGAACTCCTCATTTCTCTCTATCCCTTATCTCAGGCAACCACCATCTGCTCTGCTTCTACGAGCTTGACTACTTTAGATACCTCCTATAAGAGGAATCGTGCGTTAGTTTCCTTCTGTGACCAGATTATTTCACTCAGCATAATGTCCTCAAGGTTCATCCATGTTGTTGCTAAGTGCAGGATTTCCTTCTTTTTTAAGGCTGAATAATATTCCACAGTATGTGTTCACCACATTTTCTTTATTCATCCACTGATGGACATTGAGATGGTTTCCACATCTTAGCTACTGTGAATAATGCTGCTATGAACGTGGGCGTGCTAATGTCTCGTGGAGATCCTGATTTCAGTTCTTTTGAATAAATACTCACAGGTGGGATTGCTGGATCATATGGTAGTTCTATTTTTCATTTTTTCAGGAGAATACATACTGTTTGGAGGCTCTGCCATTTTGCATTCCCAACAGTAGGGTGCAAGGTTCCAGTTTCTCCACATCCTCACCAACACTTATTGTCTTTTGCTTTTTTGATAATGGTGGTAGCTCATTGTGGTTTTGATTTGCATTTCTCTGATGATTAGTGACTTTGAGTATCTTTTCACATACCTGTTGGCCATTTGTATGTTGTCTTTGGAGAAACGTCTATTCAGGTCCTTTGCCCATTTTTTAATCAGGTTGGTTGTTTGCTGTTGCTGTAGAATCTGAACTCTCAAATGGTCTAAATATCCTGAAGTGCCAACTTCTGAGATCTCATGAATTAAAAAAAAGTCCCATTGGAAAAATGTCCCCACCAGTTGGTCACTTGTCAGGTGACCAGGGATGGGACGTGTTCTGGATGTTGTGGATGTTGGCCGCAGACCTTTGCTTGCTGTGCCCGTCTCCTCTCGCTGGCCCTCCCTCCCCGCTGTGATCTAGGAAGTGGTGTGGCAGAGGCTCCCTGTGCCCTGTGATGAGAAGGCACAGTATAGAAACGAGGGGGTGGAAGGGGGCACAGGCTGGGACATGACAATATTGCTGTGCTTCTGGCCATCTGTGACTCCAGAATCTCTAATATGTCTTCATGTCTGTTATCCCAGCTTATCCTCACAGCAATTCAGTGAAGCAGGTGGGGCTAGTGCTGGTGATTCCACTTGCAGATGAGGAGCCAGAGCTATAGAGCATTATGTCATATAGACGTTAAGATGTGGCCCTTAGGAACACACTGACCAGAGTCCAAATCCCAGCTCTGCCACTCCCAGGCTCTGAGATTGTGGCCATGAGGATCATAGTTCCCATGTGAAAGGAGGTGGTGAGGATTAAATGGATAATGCGTGCAGAATTCGTGGCTCAGCACCTGGACCACTGCCCTTAAGAAAGGAAGTTATTGTTATTATAGAAGTAAAAGTTGTTAGTGTAGCTGCTGGACTGAGAAGACTTGATGCGGTGACCAGTATCATATGCTTCCTGCCTATGGCTGGTACTTCTGATTCCAAATCCAGCACACCGAAAAGGTGGTCTGTGGTCTCTATTAAATTAGAAAAGTGAACACAGATAATGTATTGTGTCCAGGGTTATGTGGGTACACACCTGTGTCTTCGTTCGTTCCACCAATGTTTTCTGAGTGCCTGCCATGTGCCAGGCCCTGTTCTGAGAGTGAAACAGAGCAGAAAACAGAAGTCCAGGCCCAGCCTCCTGTAGCTTGCTTCCAAGTTCGGGGAGCATCAGATGATGTATAAGTGAATAAACAATAAAGTAATTCCACATACTGATCAGTGCTGTAAGTAAAACAGGGCAATCTGACCATGTCTCAGTCTTCATGGGGCTGGGCCAGGAGCTGGGATGGTCGGGGAAGGGCTCTGAGGACGTGACATTTGAGCTGAGATCTGAGTGGTGAAAAGAGCTGGGTCTCCATTAGAGAGGACAGTAAAAGCAAAGGTCCTGACCACTGGGTAAGGAAGACCTGTGTGCCTGGAGCATGTTGATGGAGGCAGAGGATCCTACCAAACAGCTGGAGAGACAGACAGGGCTCCCGTGGAGGCCTTGCAGGCTGGCTGTGAGGTTGGGATTTTGTTCTCCATGTTTTGGGGCACCAGGTCGGGAATGAGTGGTATTGCCTGTCAGGTGTCTGCTTAGTTGCCTTCATCCTGTCCCTGTGGACAGTTGCTAGCTGGGAGGTTTTAAACATGCTGTATGTTCGGACCTGAGTTCTCCATTCTCGGCCCCCAGGGGGTTTTCAGAGTCGGAACTCTTGCATTAGAATCTCTATTGGTGGCTTCCCAGGTGATTCTGTTGTGCTGTAGGCTTAGGAGCTGTTGATGGAGAGAGATCTGCCTTTTTTTGTCCCCAATGCCCCAGCTTGCTGTTGGGCTGTGTGTCCTTGATGAAGGCAACAGGTAACTGCTTAGCACCTGCTCACCTGAGCTCTGTGCTCTCTTTCAGGTGGTGTTGATCAACGCCATCAAAGACGTGGCCAAGGCCCTTTCCGATCTCATTGGTGCTACCAAGGGAGCTGCCAGCAAACCGGCTGATGACCCCTCCATGTACCAGCTCAAGGGGGCTGCCAAGGTAGAGTGGCACTGCAGCTGGGGACAAGCATGCAGGGAGTGCTGGGGTGGGAGATGCACATATGGGAATGTGTGGACAATACGCACCTGAGCTCCTTTCTCACTTAAAGGAAAGACAGGTGCCTTTGCTCATGGCATTTGATCCCACACTAAAAGGAGTGGGGACTGAACCTCAGAGGGTGCACTCTCTGTTTTTTCTCTTCCTGTGCAGGTGATGGTGACCAATGTCACCTCCCTCCTCAAGACTGTGAAGGCCGTGGAGGATGAGGCCACCCGGGGCACAAGGGCACTTGAGGCCACGATCGAGTATATAAAACAGGAGCTCACGGTAAGGAGCCAGCACGCCTGCCTTGGGCACCAGTGTCCAGCAGCCCCCAACACGGGCTTCTCTGAGACTCTTAGCATACAGAGGTTTTACCTAGAACACCTGAGCTGAGGAGACCCATTCACCTGCCTGCCAGTAGCTATGTATAAGTTAGACCCCATGTAACAAATTTGGCACTTTGTAATTGTAATTAAGGAATTAATTGAAATGTATCACTTCGGACTATTCAGGTTTAATTCTACTAAAATTGCAGCATGACACCAAAGCATCACAGAAGATTCCTGGCAAAGGAAAAGTCAGTATGGCTGTTTGCAGTCACCTAGAGTTTAAATCACGTGTATGGTGTGGAGCCTCTCTTGATTTACGTTGCTGTTGGCAACAGCTCACACTGCTGCACACGTGTGGAACTTTAAGTCTGAGGTTTGCTGTTGGAAAAAAGCCTGGATGCCGTTATCTGAGACACTTTCCTCTAAAGTCCAGCTCCTTCTGTTTGAGACGTCCAGTCTTAGAGAAACTGACCCTGTTCTTGTCTGCCTTGTTCCAGCACTGTAGTGCGAGGACATCCTGGTGTTACTGTGGTACAGATGTTATCTGCTGTTCTTGTGATCCTGTGACAGCTGTGGATTGATTCATCTTAATCCCTATGAATAGAAATATGCCAAAAATGAATGGTTGCAAACTTAGCTTTCTTTTTAATAGAAAATCTGATCACAGATTCAACTTTTGGGTGGGGGGGGGGCAGCAGGGGGACCTTCCTTTGCCACCAGTTGTTCTGCACCTATAGAGGGTCACTGTGATGGCAACCTGAGGGTCAGCACCAGAAATGAGCAATTCAATGGGCTTTGGTGACGGAGTCTTCAGTTCTCTTGTCCTGTCTTTAATGAATCCAACCTTGGTTGATGTGCTTAGTTCATACTTAAAAGGAGAAACTAAAAAATACAGGAGCAACTTAAAAGCTGGTAGTGCCTGAAAGCACTACTGCCTGGCACACGCCTGGCTGCGTGGGCTGGGCGTTTCCCAGCAAAAGTCTGGACAAGCGTTCTGACAGGTGTAGGTGACCTAATACTAGCAACGGAAGAGAAGATTTGAAATTTGGAGCTGTCCTGGGAAATGATAGACACATGGTTATTCTGTGTGAGATACCAAGTGAGATTTAGAGTTCACCCAGATTGTGTTTCCATGGAGCGTGTGCCATGAGGACCATGTTAGCATGGAGGACTCTGTACGTGTGTCCTTCGTTCCTCTGTAGCATTCACAGGTGGAACTAGCATTTTGGGTCCTGGGCTGCTTAATGGCATCTTTTGGGAGCTACTGATGTTTGACTTTGGTTGGCATGTGGTGGGGTACTGGCCAGGTCCTCCCTTCTGCCTTAGGAAAGGCTTCAGCCTAGGGCTGAAGACAGGGCAGCCCCCCATGGATGGGTGTCCTCTTGTGCAGGGACAGATGTACATTCAGCACACAGCCAAGGCACCAGTCACTCATGTTCTAGAGACAAGGCATATGGACTTGAAGCAGAAATGGCTGACTTGACTGACAGGTGGAGCTTTAAAATAGGATATTGGCTTACCATGGTTAATTTATTTCTACTTCTCTAAAAGTATGTGTGTGTGGCTAAATAATTCATGGTGTCACCATGGCACACTCGACATGAACACCTCTGCACAATTATGCAGTTATATGTGTAAGACAGGCTAAGAATAGAAGGAACTGATGTTTCACTTCCCCCAACTTTACACCCCCTGAAGGAAAGAGAGGTGAGTCCAGAGTGGTGCTCCAGGTCAGTCATGCCCCAAAACCAGAACCAGGACCACAGAATTTCTGGAAACTGCTGAAGCCCCAGCAGGGAGGGGGGAGAGGACTAGGAAGCCACAATCAGCCTTCTTTAGAATGGATAGAGCACAGATATTGGGTGTCAGTGTCTGCAGGTGAATGGGTTGACACTATAGCTATGTCTCCCTCACCATGTTGTCCCTGTGAATGCCAAGTGTAGGTGTGAGAGGTTTGTCTGCTAGAATCTTGAACGCAAGAACGGTATTACTGTTCTCAAATTAAATTTCTAATTTCCTGCTATTTGACAGTTTCTTCCAGTTGCTGGCTGGGTTTTCAGACACTGAGCTACAGCCTGGTTGGAAAAGAAAAACCATTTTTGTTGTTTCCTTCCTGATTTTGTTCACCTCTTCTGTTTGTGACTTCCAGGTGTTCCAGTCAAAAGAGGTACCTGAAAAGACATCATCACCTGAAGAATCGATAAGGATGACCAAGGGCATCACTATGGCAACAGCCAAAGCCGTGGCAGCTGGGAACTCGTGCAGGCAGGAAGATGTGATTGCTACAGCCAACCTGAGCCGGAAAGCCGTGTCGGATATGCTGACGGCTTGCAAGGTAGAGGCCGTGGCGTTGTTTTGGATGGACAGATAGTTTTCCATCCAGAAAGAGTTGTTTGGTGGAGTCTGGCAAAGGGGAGGGGCTGGAACATGTAGAGGGGAGCAGATCTGTACCTTAAGCTTGGTAATAGAAGTGCCCGCTGAGGGTGGCACATGTATCTGCCTGCGGGAAAGGCTTTCTAAGGTGGTTTTTTGTTTGAGGGGATGGAGTCGGCCCTGCTGACGTGGTCCTCCCTGATAGGCAGGAAGCCTTCTTACCAAGGAGTGGAGGCCGCTCTGAGAGCAGTCAGCAGGGGCTGCAGCACTTGGTCCTGGGCCCTCCAGGTGGAAGCAGGTCCTGTCTTCTGCCTGCACCCTTCCCGCCTCCGTGGGCAGCCATTCTGCATTAGGAGAGCTGTTGCCATCACTAAGAGACAAGGCGAGCTCAAGGCATATGGCAGAACTTGGGGGACTGCCTTTCTGCTCTCTGTGCTGGATGTCTCCAAGGAAGTCTTCTGGACCCTTGGATAGATAACTAGAGCAGCTGCCCTGAGCCCATGCTTGGTGAGGGAGCTGTGGACCTGAGCCATGTGACCTTTGTGTTTTGTCTATTAAGAAAGTGAACCATAAGAGCTCCCCATCGCCCTATGTCCCGCTGAGCACCCCCACCCCAGACCTTCACCCTTCTGGGGACAGCCTTGCCCTAAGGACTCAGACACTGACTGATTGGTCACTGAGTGGCCCATGGTGAGCAAGGGTAGGGATTAACCGTGGAAGTTGAAACCCAGCTGTGACAGCCTGGATCTGGGGGAGAGCCATTCTCTGTGGTGAAGTGGTTCTGTTGGGGTTGCTGCCCAAGGCCCAGCTCTGAAGGCTTTTGGGGGCTCTTTAGAAGGGGTAGGACGATTTGGAGGTAACTGCAGAAAGGGAGGGGGAGGCAGTAGGGCCAAAGGAATGTGGGGGAGGGGCTGGCCGTGGGGACACACCACGTGTGTGGGACTCCTGGGTCTGATGAAGGGTAGGGAGTGGGGGTCTGTCGAAAAGTCGAGGGTAGGGAGAGAGGGTGACTTT